TGTAAAGCTTACTCGCCGGTATACAGGGTGGAATTTTGTAATGCCACCTGGAGGGAAAGTACCCTTAAATCTGTAGGTACAAAATTTTACTCAAAGAAAACATTCCTTTATTTTTGAAAAGAAAGAGAACTGCATTAAAAATTTTTGAAAAAAAATCGAAAATTTACCACCATGCCATACAATTTTTTGTAAAGAATTACAATAATTTAAGATTTCATGGTTTTCCTATCATTTGATTTATCAAGTTTGGTTGAGAGATTTCATCCTTATACTTAACCCTAACGATCGATGCCATAAAATACAGGGTGTAATTTTTTTTACATATTTAAGTGGGTTCGATTCCCGGGTGTAGCAAGCAAATTTTTGGAAATCTTTGAATGCAGTTCTATTTCTTTTCAAAAATAAAGGAATGTTCTCTTTGAGTACAATTTTCTGTCTACAGTATTTAGAGTACTTTCCCTTCAGGTGGCATTACAAAATTCCACCCTGTATATTTGTCTGATAGAGCGGCTCATTTGTTTTGTCTACATCCCGCTGTTGCGAGCAGTTTCTTGCCAGGCCTGGCCGGCTGGGTACTACGCCACTTTAGTAATCTAATTAAAACGAAGCTAAGGCTTGTTAATATTGATTGAGTTAACCTTTCCCCATGTTTACGCGACAGTTTGTCCACACCTTGATTTTCTTGCGAATATTTAGTACTACTTTACTGGTAATTACAACATACAACTGGAACCATAAACGATAATATGGTTTGGACGAATCTTCATAGAAGTCAACTAAAATGACCACGGCAGTCCCTTTTTTAATTTATCACTAAAATATTAAAAGATTGTCCATAAAAACTTAACAAGTAGATTCCATAAAACCCGGTTAGAAGTCCATAAAACCCGGTTATTGTTATAGTTACAGTTAAAGTAAGTTGGTGCAACTTAGCCTAAGTACGAGTATGATTACGTAAGCTCACATAACAGATGTTTTTTAACTTTTCTTTACATTATAACTGTTCCTAATAACTTAATTTTCTAATATTTAGATATTTACTTATTTTAAGTTTTTATTATTCAAATGCACATTGCACATCTTAACGTCATCATTAATTAGTAACTGTTAATGTCTGCAACCAACGCATCATTAAAGTTAATCCTCTGTCGTTTATTACTTTGATCTCTCATGTAAAACCGATTAAGAATCTTAAGCTTCAATTGAGTAGCTATTTTGTATTGGTTTAATTAAAAATGGTCTGTACTACGCGGGCTTAGTCACGTACACAAATTGGTGCGATGTTTCTTTACTTGTTGTCTAGTCCTACAATCGAAATCCCTTTGAGAAAAATCAAGTTGCGTGGGCATTTGAATATTGGCTAGCTCTACCTACCTACTATCGAAAAATATGAACTAGGAGCATATGGCAGGTCTGGGTAATGTCGTTGGTATAATTTACTTGTGAAAACCTCTGTTGCGTGTACAACTACGAATCTTATGCGATTGAAAATTCCATGAAAAATACCAAAATTACCATAAGATTCGTTTCTTTCAATTTATGGCATAAATCACACTTCCACTTTTGCCTACTCGTTAGGAAATTCCCAGACAGCGTTGCCCAAGGGATACACCCCAAACATGACTCCTCTGAAAAAATATTCCGTCGATCATACGAAGGCGCGCCGGCTTAGATATCAAACCCTAAGCTTCTAAACCTTATCTCCAACGCAACGGTTGGTGTTAATAAATCTAGCTAAAGTATTTTTAGAAGGCATAGAGGTACGTAGACCAGGTTTACCAAAGCCCGAAAAATAATAATCTTAACACGTTGAGTGCGAAACCAGGTCTATAGACCCTGTGTACGTCTCGCTTACCGTGCGGCTAAGAAAATTCTAGTCTTCCTTGTCGTGCGAAAGGCATAACTTCAATTGGGTCCGGTGTAGGAAAGTGATGAATATATATCTATGATGTATTCTTAAAATAGAATCTAATGATGTACCTACCTTAATACCAGGTTTTTAGACCTGGTACCGCACGGAAGTAATAAAATGTCTTCACAATGCGAAACCAGGTCGAAGCACCTTGTACCCTGCGCACCTGGTACCGCACCCCACGCTAGCTTCGTGCAGCCAGTGTTGCCTCGCATTCGTAAGAAACGCACATGTCGACATGGCGTCAAGAGAAACAAACAAAATCAAAACTGCAAATTGATTATAATTTAACATGCTACACGATTTATTGCTAATTTAAATAATGTTTTTCGTGACAAACATTTGAAGTTGTAACTAAATGTTATTAAATAATATGTTTTCTTTAAATATAGCTTATTTAAGTATTTATGCACGTATGTCTTATTTGTAAAATATTTAGACTAAATTACTAAAACATCTTTGTTTGTTACTTTTTAAAAACAATAAATGCATTATTATTAATATTCAAACAAAAAAACACAATATCTATTAACATGAAGCCAAAAATAAAATTAATATATCTTAAATATTACAAGGTCTTTAAGCCTTGTGCAGCCACAATGTAAGTTTTAATACCAGGTTTACTGACCTTGTACCGAAGGAATGGAAAGTATTAGAAAGTTACTGCCGCAGCAAAGGTGTTAAGCTGTATGGCTCAAGTTAAGTGGGCACTCAACGCTGTGTACAAATCTTTCAACTGAGCATTAAACAAAATAAATAGCTATAAAAACGAAGCATTGCTTTATTTCAGACCTCGCTCAAAATACCGCTCAGATTTGCATATACCTATTTGAATACTCGAGCCTACGTTTCCGAAAATTGTTATCCATGGCGTACGTAATGTTGATGGCTAATTTGCTAGCAACTTGATACTCGCCATAAACGAGAGCGAGGCAGCCGAAAGAATTTGAACAAAGAAACGGGGTCGCCGCGGTATTTTCCGCGCACACCGCTGCACTACAGCGCGTTCGACTGGTAATGCTGAGACAGACGGAACGAAACGTTCGTTCATTTCAACCAAATGATGTCCATAGCTGGACATAGGCCTCCTCCAAGGATTTTCACAACTCACCGGTCCTGCGCTGCCCGCATCCAGGTACTTTCCACGACCTTCACCAGACCGTCGGTTCACCTAGCCTCCCCTGCCCATACATTGTATTCCGGCCCGTGGTCGCCACTCGACAATTTCATCCTAAATCCCTTTATGATGATAAGGTAGACTATAGTCTACACCGCAGGAGGACAAGCCCTCTAATTACCAGATGCAAATGTAGGATTTGACCTACAATCTCCACACAGACCTGCCCCTACGGTCCTTCGCTGCTCAGATTTCAGGTTATTCATGCCTGCCTAAGTGCCTACACTACATCTTCCGGTCGGCGGTCTCCATTCGAGAACTTTTCTGCCCTAAACTCGAGAACTTTTCTGCCCCAAACTCGAGAACTTTTCTGCCCCAAACTCGAGAACTTTTCTGCCCCAAACTCGAGAACTTTTCTGCCCAAAACTCGAGAACTTTTCTGCCCTAACGTTGACCATTGGCTCTTAAAAGTTCTACGAGCTTTGTGTCCCACTCACTGCCATGTAATTTTGGCAATTCTGGGGGCTATGTAGAGTAAACTGCCAGTCATTGGACACTTAGGAAAGTTATTGGACAGTTATTTACTGAATTAAAAATAGCATTTCAACAACTGAGAGATTCCGACTGATGGAGATAAAAGGGCGTTTTTTGAAGGAATATTCATTTTAAGAAAAATCAAGGGTGGTTTTGTCCAATGACTGGCAGCGTCCAATGACTGTCGGTTTACCCTAATTTAGTTATTACCAGTAAATTAATTTTAGACATCTAAGTTTTAGACAGTGTTAAGTAGGTTTTACAAATCATGCACTCGTATGCACCGCACAGCGGCGGCGGCGCGGCAAGGTCGTTCAAGGCAGGCCGGCGCGCACGTGGGAACGGGCCGCTCTCTCGCTGCGCCCGCGCCGCCGTCTATTTGCTTGTTATGAAATTAACAGATTATTTTCCAATTTACATTCTCTTGCTTATGCGTGGAGTTTATGCGTATTGGAATCTTGATATTCGTTACTCATTTGTGAATATTTGTGTGGTTGCAAAATGTGTATGATGATGAGGGAGTTTATCCCGTCAGTCGTCACCGCGAATGGGCATACAGCCATACAGCGCCATCTCTTGAATGGTGGTATTTATACATTGGTAATTTCAAATGAATGTTGCCTTACTACTTTTAACTTTACTTTTACAAAGACTAAGTACCAGACCAGACTTTACGACCTTTTACGAGCCATAAAGGCACTAAGTAGGTAATATACTTACCTAATACAAATTCGTGTGGTGACGGCAGAGCAGAATACATTTGTCACCAACCCCTACTCTTCCCGCGGGTGTCGTAAGAGGCGACTTAGGGACTACACATTAAACAGAGAATGGGCAGCAGCGCTCTCTGAAAAACATCAATCTTTTAAACTGCAATCTCCAACCCGCCTGCCTAGCGTGGAGATTATGGCAAAACCCTCCACTATAGTGGAGGAGGCTCATAGTCCAGCAGTGGACTGTAAAGGGCTGTTGATGATGATGAATACAAATTCAAATTGGTAATTAAACTTTTAGACCTGACGTTTATAATAACAGCTGTTTAGAAATCATACCTTGATTTATTATTATTAATAGTATTTGACACTTAACATTTGAGGCGTAATATATCAGCTCATTAAGCATTTAGACCCCGAGGTCACTGCAAAGGAAAAGTAGGAACCTATTTAATTGCTTATAGATTGATTTATCTCCCTATTACGATTGTGTGATTATAATTACATCGAGCGTAGTCCAAAGCTCCGCTCTAAGTTTAATAGGAAGTTGTTTTTGTCCAGCCATTGATTTAAGACAATGGCGATTCGATTGTTACCGCTCTCTAATCTCAAATAGGTTAAAGTTCACCAATAAAGCCAGTTACCAAAAGTATTTCTGCATATCAATGAAAGGAAAGTCAATAAACATGAACAAGTGTATCAGGTTCGGACTCTTAGGGACTCCTTAATAGACGAAACAAGAGAGGCGCAAGTAGATAGGTTTTACATCTACAAGTCAGAAAAACATAATCGCATGGTACAATTCGTACCTGCTACAAAACTAAGTCAATAAACGTGACTGGTGAAGGTCGTGGGAAGAGCCTGGAAGCGGGCAGCGCAGGACCGTTCATTGTGGAAAACCTTGGAGGATGCATTTGTCCAGCAGTGGCTGAAATGAAGGAACAAAACTAAGCCAGGCCGGTTAGAAATAATTAAATCAAAAAGGAAATCAAATGAATATGTTCGAAGGGATTGGTTCACACCCACTTCGGTGTGTGACAGTGACAGCTGTTTAGCAATCAGTGTGCATGGCGACAATTTATGCGCCGGCGCCTTGGACATTCAGACAAGACAAGTTTTTATAAATCCTTACCTATTTTACTTGATTGATTACTTTGTAGCTTTCAAGGAGTTAAGTCCTATCAACACTAACCATCAGGCTTGATTATAGATCAATCGTTATATCCTGACTGATGTTTGATAGACAGGAGTTCGAGTGAAAAAGATGGTAACACCTGAAAACAGCCATACACTAAATATAATAAATAACCTTACGCCCAAAGGTTGTCCCTAAAATTAGAACAGATATTAAATTATTATGTGGATGCTTTTCTAAAAACTTTAATGAAAAATTACTCTACAAAACTTGCAATTTCTTAAAATCGTTGCTTTCGGCCAGGTTTGTAAGTTTTACCGCTTTTAAAACATTATGCCAATTTCGTTCATTACTTTTTGTATTTTTGACGTTCGATACATTTTTCTTTTCATCAAATAAAAGTAGGCTTTCATTCTTGAAGGTATTATTTCCACTTCCAGTATTTTTCACTACATTGTGTATAGATTTTGTTTCATTATCAATCAACATTTTTAATGTATAAATTCCTGTTTCATTCATTAGAGGAACATTGGACGCGTAGTTTTTAGGAGTCTCGGGCTTCACCAAGAGAATTATTTCTTCAAAATTAGCTTTATTTGAGTGAGAAGAATTACTGGGATCCCCATCGTGGGATAAACTACCGTTTTTAACATTGTAATCTTCAGTACCCAAAGGTTTTTCTTTGACAACATTGAATGAAACCAGAGAGTGGTCAACTTTTTCAAAGACCATTGTGTTATTCGGCAATATTTTTATGATAGTATTTTTATTATTCGACTCATCATACTCATCAGCATGGGAAGTAACATTACTATCATGAACATCACTTTTTGTTTCATTCTCTGAGCTTCGATGATATCTTAATTTGTTTCCCTCAAAGGAGCCATTTGGTCCCAACTTAATCTCAATTCTTGGGCGCCCACTATCATCTATGATTTTAAGTATCACTCCAGAACTTTCTTCATCTTTGATCGAATTGGTTTCTATAGCGTTGACGGACCTTCGCAAGCCTTTAACTGGGGGATATTTTACTGCTATTGGATTTGTAGTGTTAGTATTTGGTTTTCTAATGACAACTGACCTTTGTGTAGTGGTGGAGGTTCTTTGCATGGAGGGAATTATGGGTGGCACGACATCTTGCACCAAAGAGCTGTTAACGAATGCTCCTTTTCGAAGCAAATGCCTGTACAAGGGAATTAAGTGCGAGACGCTTTGATCTACTTTGAGCGCCTTGTTGCCTTTTGCTTTGTCCAAACCATACCCCAAATGGTCTTCATCATCGGTCCTGAAGATATCTTTGTCATCGGGATATGGGATCACCTGGAAATCAAAATTAGACCTTGTTTTAGTTTCTGAATTAAAATACCTGAACTTAGCTCTCCTGCTGAAGACAATCGTAAATTATACTAACATCGTATCCTCTCCTATCGTGTGGTCGTTCATCCGTGGTATTCAGTTCGTCGAGAGGCTTGGGGTTCACTGTGCTCATGAGGTAACAGCACAGCCCAAACAGCCCTAGCAGCACCACGGAGTAGCCGACCACGAAGGCAGTGCCTCTAGACATGGTTCACGGGTTTTTGGTAAAACTGTACAAAATAAAACTTCGAAAAGATGATGCCAGCAGCGCGTCATGTTGACAACGCCATGTGCCCGTCTATCGTCTATCAATGTGTTTTTTTTATTGTTATCCCGAATATTCTTGGAGGATGTACAAGAAGTAAAAGTAAGGACCATGACCATAACATATATTTTTATATGGACCATCATGACTATAGAAACCGCTTACAGGATTACTTTTTATAATTTAGCTAGTTCTAGACTTATTTATAATGTAAGTAAGAAAAAAACAACTGTTAGGAAATCAATGTATTTCATAAAATATTCATAAACTAAATACAACGAGCTAAACAATTATTATACCACTTCCATCAGTAATTAATATTTCTAATCGAGTGTGATGTTTCTGGTAATATTCGCTAGGAGCTGTGAGTATTCGAGGTATGCTTCTGCAGGCTGAAAAAGAAACAAAAGTCATGATCATCATGATTGAAGTGATGCCCAAAGAGATTTATTCAATCTCAGGGTTGAATCCTGCAAGTTATCTGCGGCAAGAGTCATGACATCAATCCTTTTATGGGGTGAGTACTACCTATACTTCTATTTGTATGCATGATTAAATACCTCTTTTTATTATTAAGGGTGTTCCTATGTATTAAAAAATGTTTATCCGTTATAAATCTAATACCCCTGGTTGATCGAAAATTAAGCTCTACTGTACTGTTTTCAGTACAAGCTTTTCAATACAGCATAGGACCAGCCAGCAATAAACATCCTAGTTTTCCTTCAGTAGTCGTCATTATCATTACTATCATTACCTACATCTAGCACGAAAAACTTGCGATTTCGAATCGTGCTAGAGGTACAGTCAAGTCCGCGTGTCTATGCCTTGTGGTTACAAACTTTGCTATAACTTAAGACAAAAGCATCCATTCAGGGTCGTACCAGATCAGTCGTATTATCCTCATCATCGTCATCAGGTTTGTACGTGTGGCTGTGCCCGCTGTGGTAGCTCATGAGCGCCGCCTTCCGAGGCAGATCCATCAGGTCAGGATCCACCACCGTCATCAAGTACATGAACGCCGAGAACAGGGCCAGTACCACTGAGGAGTACACCAGGAAATAAAGAACCACTTTCATGTTTTCGCTCCACTTTGAGACAGTGACAGAATGACGTTTATTATAAGTGACAAGGCATAGTGAAACAGCTGGGTATGTAAAAACTTTTTGATGTCCTCCACTCGACACAAACCAAAGCCGCAAAAGCATGATGAATGTCTGTCGAACTATCTTATAGCAAAATTTTCTGAAACTGAGATAAGTTCATGGTTATTAAAACAAAAAAAGCGTTTTGGAAAAAAGATTCTGCTGAAAAACTAAAACGAGAAAGATCATAAAAAAAAACCAAAAACCTTTGATTGACATCCAAAAAGTGTCAATATTGCTAAATATTTTAAAGAAAAATGATTTTCTAGTGTTTACTTTAGTATCACAAATAATAAATTACCTAAAGCATAAATAAACGTAAAATATAAACTAAACAAACAAAAGGAAACTTTTTTGAAAGTAAGTTTTTGTGGCTATAAAATGAATAAATCATGTCCTTCTGAAAAGGTTTACCTGATACTATAGTAATTTTAGGGTTTTCTTATAATTGTACTTAGTATTTTATGTTTGCAGCTATGACCAAGGACAAGGAATCCGATCGCCACAGTAATACCGACTCTGAGGCAGGGTCGGTGCGATCCAACCGCGCCAGCAAACTTGGAGCCATCCTGTGCCCCACTGCATGTGCTTTGCTACTCGTCTGCGTCTTTGCAGTCTCCTTCATCGGAGCCAAGCTCGCCTATGACCAGTATGACGCGTTCTGTACTGCCCGCCGATTTGATGTAGCCAAACTGTACATTTTCCCTAATGTTACTTTGAAACTGCGAGCCATTTAGCAATGAAATAAAGTTATGTTTCGTATTAATACCTGGTACTTATTTAATTTATCATTGCTTCAGGTCGTGTGCTGTAGTAAGGTTCTACAATATTAAGCTACCAAGTTAAATATTACAAGATAGCGCCATCTAGTACGTCACATATGAAGTTTTTACTAAAATGTGGTGCTGTTCAGTGGTCTATGCTTTTGATAAAGCATGATAGTGTTTTATTTAGTTCCAGTACACAATAACAGATAACGCTACTGAAGAATCAAGAAAATAATTTTAGTATTTCATTTTCCAATTATAATAAAATTACATTTAAATCTAAAACTATTTTAATTTCACTAACCAATTTACTTACTATTAAAATTTGTTTCATTGAAAGAACAAAATATTTGCGACATTAATTTAGCTTACAATTTTTAACACTGGTAATAAAAAAAAACTTTTGACAACCAAAACAAAATGGGCGGCTGATGAACATCCAGACGGCGCAATTTTTTGTAGTTTTTTCCAAAATTGTAGTGTAATAACTTGAAACTTTTTGATTTTTGTTACACTTCTTTAGTGCTAGTGTCATCTTCTTCAGGTCTTCTTTCATAAATGTGAGTACCTATTGTATTTTCGCTGTAAACTACTTTCAACACCTTGTATTGATTATGTCGTGTTACTTACCTTCAAAAGGAAGGCCAATGTCAGCGTTGCGGTGAGGTGGGAAACTGGGAAAAGTGCCGGTGGAACGCCCCTTGCTATTTACTAATTATTTTGATAATAACTGTTTGCAATCATAATTTTGAACTGTATTGTTTATCTAAGTTCACACAATACCTTGGCAGTCCTAGCACCACACCTAACTTCTTAATAAGTCCTAATAAAATATAGATAAAATATTTGAAAAAATCTACGCTTTAGAGCTTGTTTAATTTACAACAAGTATCTTCATAGCCCAATAAACCTACAATATTATTAAATAGGTACCTATTCAATGTTGGTATTTATAATAGCATGAAAGTGCTCACGTCTTGTAAGCAAACTTGCTTGGATACCACCCATTTTCAGATTCATAAATTAGCTATGTCAAGACTACACATAAATATCTTTATTTTAAAATGTATTGAATACTTACTTATGTAAGTGTTTACTCGATAACCTGACATTGTAATTGGAATGTTTTTCTTTACATAGCTTGTCTGCCTTATCTCACACAGTAGTAAAAGACATCTTTTATTGAAGCATGAACACTAAGTCAGAATCTTAAAATTATACATTAAACAACAATTTGTACACCTATCTCACAGTGCCAGATGTACTGTTAACATTTTATGATTCCATGAACTAAAATGCTACTTAAATTATGCAGGAATCGTTATTTTTATCCTTACTTGTTTTTTATTTAAGTGCCTACATTATTGAAATGTAATCATGAATTACCTAACTATCCTTTGAAAATGATAAACAGGACAAAAGGGTGTGCTTTTGTACCTACATTCTACAAACATCATTCTTCTCATAGCTTGAATAAAATATCTTATTTGACTGGTGAAATCATGATAGGTAATTAATATCTTTCACTATTCCCTGTGAGATATGATCCAATGAATTTCAATAAATTTATTGGTACATAAAATCTCTTGAATAAAATTCAAATTGGATCAGATCCAATAATGTTTGCCGCAGTATCTAACCATTCTCTGCAAAATTATTTCAAACTATATTCATCTCTTTCACTTAATCAATGATGCAGACAAAAGACAGCGATAGAACTGATAGTACTCTGAAGTAGTTTTAGGAGTAGACCAGTTTAATTGACTTGTATTCAATCAACTTACATTGGAAAAAACTGCACTTGTAATAAGAGAACAATGGCTGATATGTAATTGACCAATTATTTTCTGTTATTGATCAGTTAGACAAAAACCTGTTTAGCTTGTAGCAGCATTTTCGAGCAAATGATGCAAGTTACAACATTCGTACACGTTGTTCATCTTTGTTATCGCGACATGTTCGCTGCGAATGCAACATGTTCGCTACGAACTCACTTCGCTGCGCGTTCGCTGCGAACTTGCGGCATGTTCGCTGTGCACTCACTGTAAAGTTGAGATTAATGTTTATGAGAAGACTTATTTTCTTGTCGTAAAAAACGATGTATAAAAACATGCGAATGGGCTCTGAATATAATTCCACGTAATCTGTAACAACCAACGTTAGGTAGGTACCTACCTACTTATGTATAATATTTACTACAGAATACTTTACCACTTAATAATGCGAGAATGATATCTATAAAACATTCTCACATATTAGTAGGCCAGACTCTCAGAAACTCAGGCTACCAAAAAGCTCGTACCAAAATCCACGCCCTCTTCATTTCTGAAGAGGAGCAACTTTGCGCCGCCACGTGCCATCTCTCATTAAAAGTTATGGTGCTCCACATTTTGCGTTTGTCTCCTTTTTCTTGGCAGGCCTTTGAGACTTGACGGCCTATATCTGAAGCATATAACCCGACGCCCTTATAAGTCGTGCTACAAATTACGTAATCGCACTTTGGGATGAAAAAATCTGGAAAGAATTTTGGAGTTGGTGAATAGGTATCATTGGGAAAAGATGAGTGTAGTTCTTCGTAAACTTATCTTGACTTACTTATGGTCCTATGTCCCCTAGATAGGGCAGAGGGCGTCCACAACAGTCCTCCATCGCGTTCGGTCTTGAGCTAAGTGTTTGATTTCGCTCCAAGTCTTGCCGATCTTCTTCGCCTCGTCTGCCACAGTGCGCCGCCAAGTTTGCTTGGGGCGACCACGTTTGCGCTTTCCTTGGGGGTTCCAATCCAGAGCCTGCTTGGGGATGTGATCGGGATCCCTTCGGAGAGTGTGGCCAATCCAGTTCCACTTGCGGCGCTTGATCTGCTGGTCGATCGGAATTTCGTGGCAGCGTTCCAATAGCTCGACGTTGGAGATTTTCTCAGGCCAGTATATGCCGAGAATTCGGCGAAGGCAGCGGTTGACGAAGACCTGCAGCTGGTGCGAGATGACCTTGGTGACCTTCCACGTTTCACACCCATAGAGCAGCACGGATTTAACGTTGGACCCGAAAATTTTGATCTTGACCCTTCGGGTCAGTTTCCGTGACTGCCATACGGGGCGAAGTTGTGCGAAGGTGGCTCTAGCCTTGGCAATGCGCGAAGTGATGTCCTCTTCGGTACCTCCAGTCTCTGACACGACGCTCCCGAGGTAGGTAAAATTGTGGACACGTTCCACATCCTCTGCACCAATCCGTAATGGTGTGCAATTCCTCACTCCAGATCGCATCTCTTGGGTCTTCCGGCAGTTAATTTTGAGCCCCGTGATGCCCGCCTCTCGATGTAGGTCATCAATTTTGGATTGCATATCGTGATGCGTGTGGCTCAGCAAACAGAGGTCATCGGCATAATCTAAGTCTTCTAAGACTCCGATTATACCCCACTCTATTCCACGCCGTTGGTTTTGATATGCACGACACATGACTCCATCCAAGACTACCAGAAAGAGAAGCGGCGAAAGCAGGCAGCCTTGCCGGACGCCCGCATGCACCTCAATGTCTTCGGAGATGAGGCCGTCGTGAGTGACTTTACAAGAATATTTCTTGTAGATGGCCTTCAATAGATCGATAATTTTCGGCGGGACACCAATGTCAGCGAGTCGCGACCATATGCTTGCCCACTTTAGCGTATCAAAGGCTTTTTCAAAGTCTACAAAGGTAAGATAGACTTCCCTTTGCCATTCTGATGCCTGCTCCAAGATGATACGCAAAGTATTGATCTGGTCGGTGCACGAGCGGTTCGGGCGGAAGCCAGCCTGTTCCCTACGCAAAAGAGGTTCAACGGCCCCCGATAACCTATCCAAGATAATCTTGCAGAAAACCTTTGACGGTATCGAGAGCAAAGTGATACCTCTCCAATTGCTACACTGGCTTAGGTCCCCTTTCTTTGGCACAGTAATTAAAAGCCCCTTATTCCAGTCGTCTGGGAGTTCCTCTTCCATCCAGATGTTTTCGATGAGAGGTGTCAGGACGTCGGCGGCGGAGTTTACGTCGACTCTCAGCATTTCTGCGGTGACAAGGTCGAGTCCTGGGGCCTTGCCAATTTTGAGGGACAGGATAGCCTTGGCCACTTCGTCGCGTGATGGTGGTTCCACATTGATGTCGAGCAGCCTAGGTGGAGTAGAGGTGTGCTGCGGTGGCTCAGGCGTGT